AATCTTGTTGGTTTCGCGATTTTCGGCATCATGTGCTTGGAGCTACGCACGATGCGCCGTAGCGCTCACTACTCCGACGACAATATCCACCGTGTCCTCAACGCACACATCAGCGCGCTGTACCATTTCAATTTAATGGCGATTACCTCAAACTTGGGTAATTAAACCCTCGTCTGGGGTTGAAAACAATAAACACGATCACATCAATAAACTGTGAACACATCATGAAATGAGCTTTTGATTTCCTTCACTGCTTTGGCTAAGTTTTTTCCCGCCTTTCTGCCAACTTTGAAAAGTGCTGATAAGTTTGACACTTGGTACATAACCTATGTTCGAAAGAGCTTTCTCAAAAGGGCGCTTGGTGTTAGGACAACACTTCTTGCATAAATGTGAAACGAAATGGAATGGAACAATTACTCCCACCATGGAGGCTCAGGAGTCAAATGGCGTATGTTGAGCTTGAGCTGGCGGCATCTTCTCGATGTTGTCGCTGCGCCTTGACGTCGTGCATTTCTGTAACAGATTCATTGGGAAGATAAAACTCTTGGAAAACTGTAAAATCTTGCAGCTCGCGCTGTGAAGCCGCGATAAACGCTATCACATACAGCCACACTGCGGCGTCTTTGAGGTGCTGGGCTTTGACGGGATCAACGACAGCAGATAATAGTAGCAGGGTCCTCTCGGTCACCGGCCACCGAGGGGGCCTGTTTCAAACTACTATGACGTATTCGTCTAGGTTCATAATGCCCACCATCACCGTCACATCGTACGATGGGATCATAGCAGGAATCGATCTTGTTTTGTCTATTTCAATATTTTCACATTCGGAGACCTTTGAGCTAGCCCTGCTTCGTACTCGGGGTAGAGCCCACAGGGTCATGTGTGACTTGATGACAGTAAGCGCGTGGAAATAGCCTCTTCGTAGAAACTGTCCAGCGAGGTCGACTTTACCGCCAGCAGATTGTACATGGCAAATTCATCGATTCTCCCCGCGCCAGAAAGGACGTTGATCATTGTGATGAACATAGCATTCGTGTCCACTTTGGAAACCGAGTCGGCAGACGCCTGTCCGTGTCGTGTACGTCTGTTCAATCGTGTACGCGACACTGGCTTGTGCGCTCGCGATGTCTGCGCCGTTCCGACCGTTATTCCTTGTATCTTGATGAGTTTGATTTTGCTCACCATGCTCAGTGGGAAGCGAGATTCGGTGGGCCTGATGTGATACGACGGTAGAATGTAGTGTGGTTGTCATTCTGCTGTGATCTTTGCGTCAGGTGTCCGTAGGTCGTCGGCTCCGAGGAGATGGAACTGCTGAAACACGCGCACACAACTGTTTGAAACGTCGTCGCAATCATCGGTGCATCAGGCAAGGCTCTGTCGAGAGTCAGACCCGCCGTAAGAGCAAAGGGACCACTAAACAGTTGGAGATCTCAAGCTGTGAGCTCGTTTTTTTTCTGCATTTGTTGTGCGCTCATCCCCAGCTGAGTCTCAAATCATATATGCACACAGATGGGCTTGAAAGCATCTATTACGTGTAACAGTTATGTACATATCCAAATGTGAAATTTAAGAAATTAGTCAACATAAAATTGGCTAGAGAAAACATAAACGATTTCGAACCAGCTCCAGAAATGCTTAGCTAGACAAAATATAATGTAATGAAGGAAATTCTGTAGGAATACAGAATAATCGTTAATAGCAAGAGCTCACAACACTCAGCCAGAATCGTTCAAATGTGAAAATTTCAAACGTTTCCCCTCGCTAACGTGAGATGGCGCAAATGAGTGGTGTTTCTGGCATTCAAAACATTCAGAATGTGTCAAAGCAAATGCGAGCAATCTCTCCACGCGCTCGGAATGCCCGAAGTCACAATCAACCGGTTTGAAGCAAGGCGCGGGCTTATCAAAGTGCAAAGTCTGTGTTAAATGTTTCCTAAGTAAAATTCAGCGCAGTTTCTGTATGCTGTATGACGCATACGACATACTACGCACGCTGCAATGCTTGCGCCGTCACATTGAAAGGCGACGCCAGTTCCGAATCATATCAGTGATTGAGTTGAATGGTAATTTGATTCGATATGTTAACTGGCAGGGGCTGCCAATAATATCGTGCGATTTTCACTAACCCTTCGTTTTCAGCTATCATTATTGCTTTTACTATTTAATAAGAACATGACGAAGAAAGCAATTGGAAAAGGTGTCGATCTCAACACTCGTTATCAACTCACGGAGAATATAAGGGCTTTGAGAATCGTTATTCCAGTAAGTGAAGCAGTTCATTCCTGAAACAAGAACATTATTAGCACTTAGAAGGCTGGAACTCTTTCCGGTTGCTCAAATTGCTGGCGTTATATTTGGAATGGCACTTGCATAGCTCCAAGCCTGCACATGAAGAACTTTTTACAAAACATGAAATTCACTTGGATTTCTGATTGACAAGGCAAAAATACTAAATATGTATCATTTAGTGCTATTCCTTATTAATGCATATCTTCAAAGGATATTCTGGAGATTGAGAGAAATTCAACAGTTTGTGGAAATTACCATGCTTGGAGTACTTATAAAGAACATTGACGCAAGACCAATACACTTTTCACGTCTAGTACGTGATTCGGCATGCCTGACATTGTCGTTCTGAAACGAATCGACGAACTTGGTATTAAGCAAAGAATAGATCATAAACTTTTTCACAAGGTCGCAAATAAAGGCAGCGCTCAAAATTAGCGTACTAAAGAGCATTGGGAAACATTGCATAGAAGTGTCCGCATAGATGTCACAGAGTCACTTGCATTTTGTTCTGAGCAGAAAGTAAAGATGCTATTACTGAAATGTGCACAAGCATAGTTGACGTCAGCTGGTCGTTGGAGGTGAAATTGTCGGTTTTAGAACGCTAGAAACGGGACCCGGCACAGATCGACTAGGGACAGGCTGAGCTTCGTTTTTGGGACCAAATAACACATAGGATCTTGTAAAATATGCGTGTACTCAATCCAGACAAACACAGGTTTGAAAAACAAGTTATTATCAGGGTTGAGCATGGGGTCAGGCGCGCCCGACCTGGGGGATCGTATTGAGGGTAAGAGTGAGGGGGGGGGGGGTCGTAATTAAGAATTGAATTTGTTAAGTTGAGGAGATACTGCGAAGGTGAAGAAGAAATGCGCTAGTCCGGTGGATATCGCGATCATATGAAGGAATGACGGTCATAAACAGCATACTGATTGTTTCCACAATGAAAGTTTCAGCCAAAATTCAAATCTTCATCTCTTTTACCTTGACATATGGGGTCGACTGTGTAAAATGGGTATCATTTCCATAATCAGCATGTCGAATTACCTCTATGCGCTCTATAAACCATTACCTATTGCAGTTTTTAGTGTTTCGCAACGTCTGAAAAGCGTGATTTTCAAACGTGATCAACTTGTTTCAGAAGCGAAAAAAGTCAGCTTTTGTATACTCATAGCAAAGTAATGTTCTTTACAAGTCTATGCTACAAATCAGGCTTCATATCGCCTTCAAACAGTGAAGTAAGAAGTGCTGCAAAATTCCAACCGGCGCGTTTTTCACGTTGAGTGCTTCAACTCGTCGGATTAGCACAAGGCCGAAACACGTCGAACAAAGCTCAAACACTTAATGTGGAATCTTCGAGAGTTGAGCTAGCGAATCACATAAAGCTTGGGTAGAAAAGCTTTTTCGGAAATAAAGTTAATGGGGTCAGGCGCAACCTCTCAAAAGGTCAGGCCGCCTGAGCTTTTGAGGGGTTGCGCCTGACCCTCTTAACTTGCCTTCAAAATTCAAAAATCGCCCCTTTTTCATGAATATTGAGCACAAAGCCTCTTCTTGCTATACTGAAAATTTGAAGCCAAGCACTCCACCCCTGTGAGAATTATAGCTCTGAAAAGAGGACTATCCAGATTTAAAACTTGCCGTCAAGTTGCGTGTGGTTGTGCAATCGCAGAAAGTCGGGCCTACTGACTTTCAAAAAATAGAAACTTGCAGTGAAGGCTGGTCTTCTTCGAAGTATAATACCCTGAGGACTTGGAGGTGAAGTGGAGGGTCGTCTAGGGGCTTTCACAGGGGGAGGGGGTCGTTTTTGAAGGACTTGTGCCTGACCTCTTGCTCAACCCTGGTCATTATCTGAAATGCCCCATCGTGTCTCGCAAAAAAATGGCTTGTTTACAACCAAATTGCAATGGTACGACATGGAATTCAGACTGTGTGCAAAGTATTATTTGCGGAAAAATTATGTGAAAAATTTACAACTCATAAGAAGTAATACCTTCACCAAATTCAGTCCGTCTCGGACGGCCACCGTGCTTATTAAGATCGTACGGAGCATACATTTCTCTAACACGTTGACGACGAGCCATTTTTTGAAGGTCTGTCCCTGTGGACGAACCGTTTCCCGGCACTTTCACAACTGGCTGCATGTATGTATGCATGCATCTATGCGTGAGATACAAAAAGGACGCAGGTGGGCGGGGCGGCTCCGCACACTTTTGGCAAGCCCCGCCCACTTTTCAAAAATGCTGGAATTTGCCCAAAATCAATGAATTCGTGCAAATTCCGGCACTTTTGAAAAGTGAGCGGGGCGACCCCCTCCTCGTGTCAAGCTCCGCCCACTTGACGAAAATGGCGGAATTTGCACGAATTCGTGAATTTTGTGCAAATTCCGGCATTTTTGAAAAGTGGGCGGGGCCTGCCAAAAGTGGGCGGGGCTTGGTCAAAAGTGGGCGGGGCCGCGGTTGAAGCTGATGAAGCTTCACGAGCCAACCTGGGTCTAGAGTATGGAAGTCCGGGCGATAAAGGTAATCCTTGGGGTAATGCGAAAGTAGATTCTCCAAGTTATCATTATCTCTATGAGTCAGACAGTATCATTATCATTGTGAGTAAACTTGTGATAATGAGCGCAGCTTATAACGATATCGATGAACTCAAGAAAGCTTCGATGACTTGCTTCTCGATAGCGACGCCGAAACTCCCGATGGTGCGGATGGCGATGACATGACTCCTGCTGTTGTTCCGGACACCGATGAGTCCGATTCCGACATCTCCGAAGATGACAATGACGAAGACGCAGAGAACACTTGGATCGACGGAGCTGAAAAGCATGACAGATGGACGTTTACCGAGCATGTTGGGGCTGATCCAGAGGTGGATGACTGTGAGACGCCGCTCCAGTTTTACGAGTTATTTTTCTCTGAAGAACTCCTCGCCATGGTAGCTGAACAGACGAACGTATACGGACAAGAAAAGCATCATAACTGGAATCACACCGATTCAGACGAACTGCGAAAATTCTTCGGCCTTTGTTTGCAGATGTCTCGATGTCCACTTGATAATCAAAGGAATTACTGGTCATTGAAACCTCAAAACTTGGCTAGAAATGGGCATTCAATTGCAGGAGACTTCATGACGAGAGAACGATTCGAAGAGATCCAAAGGCACCTCCACTTTGCCGACAACGCTGCTACTGATAGGACAAACAAACTCTACAAGCTGCAGCCGATTCTGGACTATCTGAATACCCGATTTCAGGCCATGTACAAACCTGGTAAAGAGCTATGCATCGACGAATCGATGGTACCCTTCAGGGGCCGCGTTTCATTTTGGCAATACAATGGAACGAAACGTCATAGGTTTGGAATAAAGCTCTTCAAGCTCTGCTCTCGCGCTGGATACACGCAGAAGATCAAGGTTTATGCAGGAAAAGACCCCAAAAGGAAAACTAGTGTAGCAGAGTCTGTAGTCTTAGAGTTGATGGACGGCTTTCTGATGCAGGGACGTTGCCTTTGCACGGATAACTGGTACACCAGCCTGCAACTTGCTCACAGCCTTCTCAAGATGAAGACGGATATGGTAGGAACACTCAGAAGAAATCGTAAGGGCATCCCACAGATTCTCAGAGACCGAAAGCTGCAGAGAGGTGAATACATACACAAGCAGAACCTGAAAGGAGTGCTGATTATGAAATGGAGAGATAAGAAGGACATTCATATGCTGTCAACCAAGCACGACGCTGAGTGTCATCCGAACGGCAAGCCATTGGTTGTTGTTGACTATAACACGATGAAGGGATTTGTTGACCTCAGTGACCAAATGGCTTCATATACTCCGTTTGTAAGAAAGACAGCTAAATGGTATATCCGGCTGTTCTTTCATCTGCTAACCCAGACTGCTTTAGTCAACGCATGGTTCTTGTATTGCGAAAAAGTGAAGAAGATCAGGATCAATTACTTCAAAGAGTTGATTGTTGACGAACTGCTGTACAAGAATCCCAACAGCATTCAGACTACTAGTTCAAGATCTCGCAAGCGAATGTTGGTGTCTGATCCAGATGCAAAGGCTAAGGACCGACGTTTTTGTTCCGAATGCTACAAATCGATTTCTGCAACTTCTGGAAGGTCGACTGCTAGATGCCTAGCTACGAGGACGAAAACAAAATGCAGTGCTTGTAACAAATTTTGCTGCTTAGATTGTTTCCAAAGTGTGCATCATTGTTGATTGTCGAAAAAGAGCAATAAATGCAGAATATAAACCTTGGAAATCGATGAGTAGTTGGTCAATACCGATATTTGGTACTTTAGAGTCTAATTTGATAATCTAGAAAAAAAATTAAAGCAATTGGACATGTTACAATTGATATTTGGGGTGTCGCGCACCATTGCGCGACATCGTCCACAGGGACAGACTGCCTGTCGCGCACCATTGCGCGACACCGTCGTCAACGTGTTAAGTTTACGTAAGTCTCGTAATTTTATACCACGTCAAAAAAACTGTCCATAAAAAAGACAATTTTTAATTGTTGCCTTTTTTTCTGTTTTCAATTCAGCTTTAGTGAAACCACTTTGTTAGATATCAGCCCAATGCCGAACTCTTGTTGTGTGCAGCATTCCGCTCCAATTTTGTTTTTTTTCCATTTCTGGGCAGTTTCAACGGTATTTGTAAAATGACATAAAGAAATCGATTACTTCCCAATAAACGTCAAAGGGGACTTCGTGCAATTATCAAAATTTAGGAGGGACTTCAACGAGAGCCTATTTACTATTATAGAACCGAACAACTTCAAATCATGACGACCCTTAGTTTCAAAGTTGGCTAGATAAAAAACTTTCGGACCCTGCTCTTACAATGTTCCTTCAATTCCAATAAACGAATAAAAATGCAAGAGAGACACTCAACGGCCGTATCCCGGCCGATGAGTGAGTGTCTTCTCTTGCATTCTGATTTTCTTTCTAGATTGGAGCTTGGTGGGATATAGTCGTCGTGATTTCTGGTCACCCCAATCTATCCTTCAAGATGGTGTTGCCCCTGCACCGAGACGCCCTAAACTCGGTGCGCGCAACCTTCAACCGTCGTTTTTAACGCCCTGCGACTTCTAACGACTCCGCTTCCTTATATTTGCGAGACGACAAGACCGCTCTTGTGCATGCCATTCAGCGCAAAAACTGCAAGCGGCAGGGTTTTGTGCCAGGGCCTTCTCACCAGTATCAAGCTTGTGATGCGACTGTCGCAACGGGGGGTAGTAAAGAGGGTACCTAAGGTGGGGAGGGGAGGGGGTTGTAAGAGGAGGTAGTTAGGCTAAAATACCCTAAGCTCAAAAGGGAATCAAAAAGCAGATAATTAATTATGTTCTTTACAATAAATCTATAAAAAAGTGGAAATCATAAAAAAAAATAAAAAAAACCGTAGAAATTCTCAAAAAAACATTTACAAGAGCTAAAAACACTTTCGAAGGATGTATGATTTGATAAAAATGCTAAATGTACCGATTGCTTCAAAAATCTTGCTTCTGAAGCCTTCCTAAAATCTCACACACTCGACAAAAGCAAATATCTTTACCAGCTGTGACCATCATGAACTTCTAAATCTTTTTGTCGTGTTTTTCACGGGCCAATATGATTTATCTGGGTCGGTAGTAAACCTATCGAAACTTAGAGTTATAACTCAGAGTTAACTCTGAGTTATCTTTGAGCTAACGCGCAACTTTTTAACCCCTTTAACAGGTGTTTGAACAGATCAAATCCGGAAAGCGATGATATGGCAGGATTCTCCTTAACACGTAGTTTATTCCTAGTAGCGCAACATTGTCCAAATCGTCCTGCACAAGAAACAGCGCCACCAAACGCGCAACTAGTGTCTGCGATAACTCTGAGTTTGATGCGCGTTCCAGTCTATCGTGGAACTCAGAGATAACTCCGAGTTTGGTCAGAGAAAGAGAAATAGTGCGCAGAAAAAGAGGGGCAGCTAAAAAGTCCTCCGGGGTACATTTTGCTCGTAGTTTAAGCAGGCATGATGGGGGTATCGTGGTGCGCAGTGATTTACAAAATTTTGAAATTTTGTAAAAACTTGGCCCAGGGGGTTATTCGGTGCGCTGGTTACGCATATGGTACCCATTTTTCACTATGGGGTCATGTAGAGGTGTTACGGTAGGTTTACGGTAGATGGGAGAAGATCATGAAACTGATCGAAACTTGGTACACTGGGGTTATTCGGGGCGCCGATAACGAATATAACATGCAGATTATACTGTGGTGTCATCTGACGAGGCTACGGTAGGTTTACAATAGATGAATCAAAGCGGCGGAATTAGCCGAAATTTGGTACACTGGAGTTATTCGGGATGCAGATTACGGACAACCATCTGCTACATACACTGGTGACATATGGAACGGTTACGGTAGGTATACGGTAAGTAAGATGAAATCATGGAAAGGCAAACTTTGCCCGGAGGTTTTATTCTGTGCGCAAATCCTAATAGTCAATTCTTATCATTGCCTATGCCATCTGCTTTTTCTATTGTTTGAAGCTTTCAGCTGCGCAAAAGACCAATCCTCGTGATGAACCATCACTGCCCAATAGGAATGGAAATGAGTGAGGCTTTGGTAAACTTGTTTTGACCTGCTAAGTGTTAATGGAATTAGTGAGTAACATTATGGAAAACAATTTTAGGGTTCATGGGTATGTCATGGTCTAACGGTTTAGTGATAGGATCTTTACGCTAGACCATACAGGTTCGAGTCCTTACTTTAACGTCGCTTTTGCAGCAAAGTGCTCAACAGCTCCTCAAAGCAAAATCCGAGCTTGAGAGTTGGAATTCGGAATTACAAAAGCAGAACTCAGAGTTTCAATAAGCGTAACTCAGAGTTTTAAGAACGGAACTCAGAGTTATCTCTGAGTTAACGCGGAGCTTCAAACTCGGAGTTTCGACCAGATTACTACCGACCCTGTACTTTGGAGATGCTCTGCTATATCATTGCAAAATTTGATGTTATTTTGTCGACTGTGGATTTTCTCATGATTTTATGTATGGTAGCAAAAAATGACAAAAGGTGGGGGGGGGGGAGGGGGGTGGGGGATCGTATCTGCGTCTCATATAAATTTCTACGGAGCTATCGAGGCTTGTTAGCTGCAAACTTGCTGTTGTACAAAGCCATCCCTCTACTTTTTATCATAAGAATTTCAGGCTGTATAATAACTTCTCGGTGAGGTACAAAACTTCAAACTCAAAAATGCCACTTTTTGCTTTTGGGATTGCATCTAAATTTGCGAGAATCGCATCTAGATTTTTTCGAGCTTACTGATCCTCAATGGCTGAAACTTTTTCCATGGATAGTATGGGCAATATACTACAAAGCCTTTCATTGCAGCCTTAGTTATGAATCTTCAAAGTACCGTGCTCATGCACGTTATTGACATCGCTCTGAATGGCGCTAAAACAGTTTTTTGCACGAAAATCTGTGCAAAAGGTAATAAGTAAGCCTTTTAGTCGAAAACATATTTTACGCTTTAAACATATCGTTTTTTTCTCCCTGCAAAAATGGTGTCGCGTATACAGGGACCGAATTTTCTGGCCAGAAGTATGCATGAAAATACAAAAAAAAACCTCAGAAACCCAAACATTATTGAAGGTGTGTATGCGTGCCAGAGATGTTGCACGCATCCCTTGGCTCAGAAATTCTGCTCCCACTGAAGTCTCACATCGACAAAATCCCATACCTTACCAACGGTGACCGTCAATAATTTGTAAATCTTAAGGTGGGGGGGGGGGGAGTAGGTGGGAGAGGGTCGTACGGATAGGTACTTTAAGGGGGGAGGGGTCGTAGAAGAGGGTCTAGGATCGCATGAACACGCTTGATCCTGCTTCCAACTTTCCATTTCAACTTTCGTCCGAGCTTTCTTTTAGAGAGCGTGAATGGTCATTACAGAGTTTGAAGCTCCTTTAGGTCACTTCGCCGATATGAAACTCGGATTCTGGCTTTACGTGACGAAGGGGCCTAAGACAGAAGAGTCAAAATGAAAATTCTGCAAGGGCACTGCCTGCAAATGCGTTAGAAGATAAAAGAGCCTGAGAACAATTAGTCTTTTAGAAGATGCCCATGCTAATGAAAATGCATACAGCGTGATAAGTCTGTAGTTCGCGTAGTTCCCACGTGCCATAGGCTCCTGTTGCTTCTGCGTTCGGAACCATTCAAAATCGCATGCCTGACAGAGTAAATAGAAGATGTTATTATATAGTAAATGCAAACCTTTCACGTCAATAGCTTGAAGCATCAGTCACGAAATGCTCTCAAAATTATTATATTGTGCCCGATTATCCTTCACATGTAATCTTCGGTGTTGCAGTTGGTCATGTTCGACACACTGGGAACCATAAATTCGCTTTTGGATGAAAATTTTTCACTTTTGAGGCCCGCTGACTGTAATAATACTCATTTTACTTGGAAATTTCTTCTTGCAGAAATAGTGAGTCAACTTTGGATTGCACATAATTTGAATAGAGGTGTTTGTCATTCACATATGCTCAACCATCGCTCATTAACGCTTGCATCAAAAACAAGATGTCAAGAGATTTTATCTAGGTTTATGACACACTTGACTACTTGCCTGCGCTGTGGACCTGGCGCTTACACCCATATCTAAAGAAATTTACTGCAAGAACGAAGACAATTTCTTCAGGAGAAAAAGGGTGAGCATAATTCACCATAATAGTACAGTTGCAACATAGCTTTCTTTTCATATTCTTTGACAAATTATCTTTGAAAAGTTATAAAAGCTCTGAACATCTCTTACAGGCCGGTGATTACAAACGTACTCGGACAGAATGTGGGAGATGCTGAGCAAGGACAAAATCACGAATCGATTTTGAAACAAATGTGGCAAAAAACTTAGGCACAAGCCATGCACGTGAACACTTTATCCGCTTCAGACACTTTATCCGCTTCAAAACAAGAAGGGACTAGGGCTGCAGCATTTTGTTTCTAAGCAGGTGAAGTGGATAAGTATGGCAAGTGCCTCAAAGATCTGTGTGTGGTCAAGTTGCTATAATTTCACGGTGTTACCGTAGCTCTGTAGAATGGCAATCATAATTTTTTAAAATTGACTCTTGATACTAGGATATCAACAGGCTTTCTGTGTATCAAATATTTGAGATTTTGAATTGTAATAAATATTGCAAATCAATAGTTGAAAAAGCGATATTCTGCTCTCCTTTCAATATGTAAAGCTGGTCAAAATCTGATATACAGGGTGTCCCAAAAAGATGTGCACACTGTTTGATTGTAAATAACTCTTTTGTGGTGAAGTGTTTCGAGAAGCTTTAGGTACCATTTTGTAGAGCGAGATTTCAACTTAAATTTACAGTGTAGAGCGGATCGTCGATCTCTCATTCTTACTGTAGGATTACGGTAGAAGCTTTGAAGAGGGTTTTGAGCCATGAAAGGTCATATTTTGTTTCAAAAAGAAACCAAAACAACCTGAAAACTCTCACACTGGGCTAACTAGAGTTGCTGATTCTAAATGTGAAGTTCGCAACTCTTCCTAATGCTTTATTAAAAAATTATGCGAGGTAAGCAGTAACAGACGTTTTTTAAGTTTCCCTAAAAAGTGCTGTTACACCGTTTAGAAAACTTGAAGTATCTACCGTACTCCTACAGTAAGAATGAAAGACCGGCGATTCGCTCTACACTGTAAATCTAAGTTGAACCTCGCTCTACAGAATGGTGCCTAAGACTTCTCGAAACACTTCATCACAAGAGAGTTATTTACAATCAAACAGTGTGCACATGTTTTTGGGACACCCTGTATAATCAGAAATTCCGCGCAGAGAGAAAAGATGGATAAGTTGTCGAAAGGATAGGGCCCAAAATCCATCCCTCACAAATTCTTTCTTATAATCTACACAGCTGTCCCAACTGTTCTAAACGGTTTTCAACAGTTCAACTTGTGCTGTTCACTAACGAGGTAAACGGTGAAATCGCGTAGCCAAAGTAATCCAGGCGTTCTAAACGACATTTTATCCAAATCCAATCTTATTGCTAGGTTTTTCTAAGACAATGAAGAGTGTTATCGTGAATGGCAAGAGTGTTGGAAAAACAATGCTTTTGATTTGATGAAGGCACCAAGTTTGTCAAATTCTGCAATCTTCGACCTTAACGTCAACTGCTACCATAATTTTCAAAAGTTCAAAGGGTTGCACGCGTTTTTAGTCGCATCTTATTTTCATCGCTTATTATCGGCCGTAACGTTTTTCATAACATATTCTTCTCTTCTCAAAGGGTTTCTGCTTCCATAACAATAATAATGCACACTTTTTGCAGCAAAATTTCCAATTCAAAACCATACTCAGACACAGACATTTTTCAGTTTACATGACAAAGACACTTTATCAGCTTTTAATCACACTTTTTCACGTACAGCAGTTAATGAAAAGAATATCTTGAAAATGGCCACAATACCTTGACAGTTGTTAGAGCTTCGAAAAATATGTATAAGAGAGAGAATAAAGAGGAGTACGGTTGAAACTTTGAGCATTAATTTTTACACACTCGACTGACTTGAGAGTTTCATACTAAAAATACAAGGACCTTTTATCTTATCGCATTCTTGAGCGTGAAAACTACTAAATGGTTTTGATCGGAGAACTATGTTTATTAAAAGATCCTCACCTCCGATCTCGGCCATTCTGCAAACTTCAAGCCCAGAAAGCGATACTCTTCTAAGAGTATGAGGTACATTTTTAGGCTCAATAATCGCCCCCAAAGGCTCCAAACACGGCCCGGAACCAATCCCTCCATGTGAATTCGTATTTTTCTTGCGGCAAGTTCTCGACTACGCAAATAACTTCGAGGTTGTCGAGTCTGTAGGGAGGGAGAAAGCTGTGCAGATCATCCTCGACGTTGTCTGTAAAAACGCATCCAACTCTCACTCCCTTTAGGTTTTGGTTGTTTTTCGGAGCCTGAAATAATAGCTCTAACATTACGAATTTGCCGAGGATGCTCTAGACAATAGCGATGCTGCTTAAATGAAAGTTTATCTTATATATAAAGCTGAATGTCTGTTTGTCTGTCTGTATGTCTGTATGTCTGTCTGTCTGTGTGTACGTATGTTCCGAATAGAAAATTCCATTTCTGAACCGATCCGGACCAAACTTGGCACACATACACTACGGGCCCCGGCGGGTGTCATAGGCTACTTTTCGTCATCGATCGATATCGATTTTATCGATTTTTATCGATTTTTTTGCTGAGTTCACCTACGGGGCTGGGAGTTGGCACAGGGGGGTAATCGAGCATGGGGATTCCGAATACAATATTGGTTTTCAGGATTATCGATTACTTTTATCGATTTTATCGATTTTTTTGCAAAGTTTGAGCTACGGGGCTGGGAGTTGGCACAGGGGGGTAATCGAGCATGGGGATTCCGAATACAATATTGGTTTTCAGGATTATCGATTACTTTTATCGATTTTATCGATTTTTTTGCAAAGTTTGAGCTACGGGGCTGGGAGTTCGCACAGGGGGTAATCGAGCATGGGGATTCCGAATACAATATTGGTTTTCAGGATTATCGATTACTTTTATCGATTTTATCGATTTTTTTGCAAAGTTTGAGCTAGGGGGCTGGGAGTTGGCACAGGGGGGTAATCGAGCATGCTGATCATCCCCAAGGGGGGTGATCAGCATGCTCGAACACCCCTGTGCCAAATTCCAGCCCCCTAGCTCAAATTTTCAAAAAATCGATAAAATCGATAAAAGTAATGGACGATCTTGAAAACTAATATTGTATTCGTAATCTGCATGCTCGATTACCCTCTGTGCAAACTCCCAGCCCCGCAGGTCAAACTTTGCAAAAAAATCGATAAAATCGATAAAAGTAATGGACGATCCTGAAAACTAATATTGTATTCGGAATCCCCATGCTCACTTCCCCCCTGTGCCAACTCCTAGCCCTGTAGGTGAACTCTGCCAAAAAATCGATAAAATCAATAAAAGCAATCGATAATTCTGAAAACTAATATTGTATTCGGAATCCCCATGCTCACTTCCCCCCTGTGCCAACTCCTAGCCCTGTAGGTGAACTCTGCAAAAAATCGATAAAAATCGGTAAAATCGACATCGATCGATAACGAAAAGTGGACTGTGACACCCGCCGGGGCCCGAAGTGTATGTGTGCCAAGTTTGGTCCGGATACGGCGGAGCCGGGTAAGCCAGCTAGTTAGCAATAAAAGGCTATCGAAAAATTTAGTCATGCTGTGTAGGACAAACTAAATATTTGAAAGTGAAGTCCGAAACTAAAAAATAGTGAATTATTTTTCGATCTTTTAGAAACCGTTAGAAGCATGCCCACCAATTTTCGAATTTCTTCTATGACATGTAGCGCATCCACCTCTTCTGTAAAGTGGATAATTGTTGTGAGTGGAATTACATGGGTGAAAGTAGATTTGAACACACTTGATAAGTACATGTTTATACTTCGGGTCGAGGGGTTGGTAGCTATGGGAGACTCGGTCATAGAATCTTCCTTTGTGATATAGTCTAGCTTTTTCTGCGCATTCGCAAGAGATATCCTACAATGAGAAAGCTAAGGTGCTCGATAACTGTATTTCTCAATTTACGCTTGAGTCTACACATTTACGGGGCTTATCAAACGCAGTGTCGCTTGCACCAGCATTTCCATTCCCGCGCTAGACTCTGCGTCTCTTCGTCGTCTCGAACGTGCTCTCTAATCATTTCCAGTCGATTGAGGCTCCGCCTTTCCCAGACTTGCCCTGGGAAAGTGATCTAAGAGCATGCTCGCGGAAGAGATGCAGAGTTCAGCACGAGTGGAGATGCTGATGAAGCGACACTGCGTTTGATAAGCGCTGTATGTCTCAAAGAGCGATCAATGTTCAAGCAACTAACCATGTCTGATAGAGCTAAAACCGCCGCATTCAAAAATGTATCCTCGTTGTTCAGAGTACATTTGAACACTTTTTCTTCGAAGTAGTAGAACCGTTCTAGCTCAGAAAAACCAACCCAATTCAGATCTATCACGTGCTGATACAGCAGGAACAAGGAGGAGAAAAACTAGCATATTTTGCCTGCTTGGGAGAACAGTGAGTGTATGCTCTTACCTGGTATTTATACCGTTACAGATGTTAGTGAGACGGTACATTTGTTTGCCCAATTTATTGAACTGTCTGTACAAAGAATATAGATATTGGCTGATGATACACAACCGCTTGATATCAAAACGCAAATGAGTGGCTCATTGGCGTGAAACAACAGGTTGCGTGCATAGTCAAGATTTCGTTTACATTAGAAGGATCATTTGAATTATAGTGCATTTGTCTGTTTGGAAGTGATACACTGCACTCAGCTCTATAACCTACTAGCTGGCTTTCCCGGCTCCGCCTGGCCCTTCAAAACACTATGATAAAGCTCTCATCCCTACTCCTGTACAACCTTTCCCTGTGCCCACTTCTACATACCAACTCCAGCTCCCTATTCTCACTGTGTTAGTTATCAGCATGCTCACTTATCCCTGTGCCAACTCCCAGCCCCGTAGCTCAAACTCTGCAAAAAAATCAATAAAATTGATAAATCTGACGGATAAGTTTGAAAAATAATATAGTATTCGTAATCAGTATGCTCGATCACCTCCCCCCCCCCCCTATGTGCCAACTCCCAGCCCCGTAGCTCAAACTTTGCAAAAAAAAAACAATAAAATTGATAAATCTAACGGATAAATTTGGAAAACAATATTGTATTCGTAATCAGTATGCTCGATCACCCCCCACCCTGTGCCAGCTCCCAGCCCCGTAGCTCAAACTTTGCAAAAATCGACAAAAATCGACAAAATCGATATTGGTCGATGGCGAAAAGTAGCCTATGACATTCGCCCGGCCTCGAAGTGTATGTGTGCAAAGTTTGGTCCGGATCGGTTCAGAAACAAAATTTCCTATTCGGAACGTACGTACACACAGGCAAACATACAGACATACAGACAAACAGTCATTCAGCTTTATATACAAGATGCATCTGAGAAAACACCTCTTTTTAAAAATGACAGTCAACTAATATATTCAATCGCCACGCACATTTGCTGGTGTCACCGTCAAAAGTGCATTTTTGTTGAGCATTTTTTATTGATTAAAATGAAAATCAACAGACAAGATTAGTTCCACCTAGCACTTACGTTGGCACTGGGTTGCGCGATAGCTGCAGGAATCCTTTCCACCAATGACAATTTTGATGGCAATAGTGGTTGCGATAGCTGCGGGGATCTTTTTGGACCACCAACAAATTCAATAACAGTAGTGCTTGAGCAAGTGCTGTTGCACCATTGATGGCCGATTTCCACCTTGGCTACCCGCATCGTGGCAATCATCTACCAAATCAAGAGGCTGTCCTTGCATCCACCTACGACTATACCTGAAAATAGAATTAAGGGGTCTAATGCGATATTTGTGGCTCTTAGTACGTGATTCAGCACCAGACTCGGTTGTCTTCACGTCATTTTTTAAGCTAGAGCATTGTGAATTTCGATTTACTCGATTCCTGGCGGCTTTTGACAACCTGCCTCTCTTGGCTCTCTTGAGCTGTCGCTCTAGGGACCGCACAGGATTGCAGATCCTCGTGTTCTCCCCCGCCACGGTGAGCTTGGCCCCTGCCAAGTTAACGCCGTGCTGTAAGCGACCGCTCCTGCTTTTTGTACTCGAGGCTACTTTACAGTTCGCGACCTCTTCCCGTACTCCTTTACGATTAGGAGACATCTCGGTTAGCGGTGCAGTCTCGAGCTGTTGTTTCCGCTTTTTCCGTTTTCTTGGAACACCGACTTGGACGAATTTTTCGACAACTGTCCTTTGTGCCATTATGAGTGTTTCTCAAATCAGCGATAGATGGCCCAAGTTGCGGTAGCGCATTTGTTCCGAGCACAACTCTGCCATCTCCTCCCTCTCTAACGAAGAAGGCTACTCTGTGCTTGGTGCCACTCTCGACTTGCAAGGTGAGCTTCACCGCTCCCTTGAAGTTTATCCGTTTCCCGGAGGCATCGTATGCGGAAGGTAACTGCTGAATCGGGATTTCTTCAACGTCCGCGTTCAGATCAAATCCCTTTTTCATGTTCATCATTAGCAATCTCATGGGGATAATGCTGATTTGAGAGCCTGTATCTACCATAGCTCTTCGAAACAATCCCAGCAAACGTACATTTAGCACCATTTGCTTCCCAAACAGCTGATTTTTCCTTGATCGTGTCCTTGCCGAGCTGCAAATCCATCGATCCAAAGATGCCGTAAAGTTACTTGGGCACTGTTCAAGTTTCTTTGCTGACGCTGAGGTTTTCCTTTCTCCACACTCGCGACTATAATGTCCTGGTTTGTTACAGTTGTAACAGCGTGGCCACCTTTTGCAAGATGCTTCCAAAGTATCTTGCATAACACAATTTTTTTCCACCACTGGAGTCTGGCTCTCGCTAACGGATGTATCGGCATATGCATTTAGCACGACTTGTTCCGTACTTAGTTGCACCGCCACAGCCATCTCCCCGCTACGTTCGCAGCGCAGCGCCATAGCTTTCACCAGCTCATACGCGCATTCCCTCGGCACTGTCTCTACGGTGGTGAACATCTGGAAGTATTCAGGCCAGTCCCTCAACTGCAAAACCAATTCTGCAGCTCTTATCCATGAGAGCTGCTTGTCTGTGGTGTCTGGGTACGCTAACCGCGTAAGCCTCTCTAACTCAAGACAGAAGGCTGTAATGTCCTTTGTCATCCGCAGATGTTTGAGTTGTACATACGCAGTTATTTGATCAGCAGACTCATTTATGCTCCATGTGTTTCGCAGTGCTTCTATAATTTCTTCGAACGTACTCTCCCGTATCCTTGCTGATAGTGTTTCGGCTACTGCCTTAGGATATCCGTCCAGTTTAGACAGAAAAAGATGTACTAGCATGTCGTTATGCAGTCCAAGTCTACCATACTTCATTATGAATCTGCAGACAAAATCATCGAAGTTCCTTCCTTGGGGATCTCCATAGAGCTCAACCTCTGGAAGGGCCATTGCTGCCAACACCTCCGCAATATTTGCCTATACGACTTCACCCTCGATCGACGGGATTGTATGCGGAACCCTTTTCTGACACTCCGGCATTTTCTGCATGGTGTCCATCGGCTTCTTCGATGAAAACAATTCAAGCTCGATATCTGTACGAGATAGAGCCTTATTTAAATCCAATGTTCTGTGCTTCGCCTGCAGCACAAATTCAATTTCGATGATGTATCAGCTCACGGTACACACGCGTATACCCCTCCTCCCTCTAGGCTGGGTCTTGCGGTGTAGCTGATACAAGATACAAAGTACACCCCTTGACCAAGAGGGACCTGTCAGTATACGGTACACGCGCCGCTGCTCCCGTAGAGGTAGACCACGGCGGTGTAACTGACACCCTCCTCCGGTCCTCTGAGAAGGCTCGATGTGTGGTGTGCCACACAACGAGCTCCTCTTTGAATCGGGGATATACACTGCCTCTGATATAGGCAGGATACTCGCCTTTTCCGCTTACGCGGTCTTATCGGCGGGGGTTGGGTTGGTTCGGTTCGGCCCCATGTCACGCACTAACCGGGTTCGTTAGTGCGAGGGCGGATGTCCAGGTGGGGAACGAGAGAGTAATAGAAAATTTATTAGAAGACTGGAAATAGCAGACAATAACAATGACTAAAACAACGGCCGGGCGGCCTTATTTATAGCCGCCACGGTACAAAGTACATGGTCAAGATCAAATTCAATAATCATTGCCTATAGGTGCCACCTCGTCCATCCTTGACATATAGCATAAAACGCTGATTCCAATCTGTTTTTCTTATCTGCAAAGCGCTTCTGGGAGGGGAGTTATAAGAATTTTTTCCTGTAAAAACTTGAAAGCGCAGCTCAAAATCACTCAAAACTTTAGTCCGTGAGCTCAAAAGGTGACCCCTTCAATCCGATAAACTCATGCTAGTAATTACTCCTTTCTAGCGCCGAAAAGATCTCAACACCTGTTTTCACAATCAACCAAGTCATAGGACTTTTACCTTAAAAAATTTCCAGACCTCCCCTCCCAAAAGCGCTTTGCAGATTAGGAAAGCAGATTTGGAACCAGCGTTTTATGTTCTATAAGAAAGTTTTCATTTCATATGGAAAAGCCATTTCGACCAAGTTTCCCTCCATTGTAAGAGCAAATTTACCGTCGATTATGCTATTTTTACCGCGTCAATCGTGTGTAGTAGCAGGAGAAACAGATCCCAAAAATCAGATACTTGCAGCTACAGACTTCTTTTGAAGTCAACACAATGATACGAAGATAAAAATGAAGGAGTGGTCGACCAAGTAAGTGTGCAGAAGGAGGAGGGGTAGTTGTTAGAAGACATCTGCCTGACTTCTTGCTCAGCGCTGGCTGTGAGGTTCAATGTCATCGTCGTGGTAGGCACTGCGACGCACTGGTGATCATATAAATGGCAGAAACGGATAGATGCATAACGTTCTGATTTTATTCCATAACTAGCTGGCATGCCCAGCTTCGCCTGCACCGTGGGTTTAACTGGCTCAACGAAGAGGGAAATTGGTGCGTAATTATCTGCGTTTTGGCTTCCTTCTCTTCGTCAATTACCGAATCTCTTTCATCATGGGATGAATATGAGTTCTACCGCTGTTGTTTACACGAAAATCGGAATAGCTTTGATAAAACATGATAAGAGTTCATTTTTCTTCAAAATCGATAAATCAATAGAAGACGTGGGATTTTCGCCGCGAAAAGTACTCTACGGGGTGGACCGATGTCGAAATTTGGCGCAGATCGGTCCACACTCAAAAACTTCTATAAAGAACACTCTGACTAACAATTTACCAACACTCAGAGTTATATATGTATAGATGGAATAAAACGCGATGAATGATCTTTGATAACTAGTTGGAGTCCACACAACTTCTACCGTTATTCTTGGCAAGTGTACCTCTTATGTATTTGACGTAACTTTATTCTGACAGCAAAATTGATAATTATGAAGAAGAAATGGTAAGCATTATTTAACCACACAGTTACTGACGATTTCTAATTACAAATACTTCTCGACATTTTCATAAAACTGGCATGTAATCCGCTAAGTTGCTAGGAGGATAGAACAGCTTGCAGAATATGCCTTCTCTTTGCGCAAGTGTTGAATAGGTTTTTCTCAAAACATCTTACGTTAGATTTTACGAATGCATAATCAATGGCAACCTAAACACAATTTGAATCTTTTCAAGCGAAACTCAAATTAGTTAACAAACCTTGGTACTGCGCCCGGTTTGAGAGAGGTTAAGCTGCGGATCTAAAGAAACGATAGTCTCCTGCTGTGTTCCTGGATGTAGGATGCCATGGGCTGGTATGGCATTGAAGCTATGCGCTGAGCTTGCCTAAAATACTGAGATTTATTTATCATATATTTTTATATGTAAGATTGGCAGAAACTTTGAGGTTCCATCCTTACGGGTGAAAAAGCTTGGAAATCAATGAGTGCGAATATTTTGGGTGTACACAGCGCTTTGTATTAGGTTGTCAAGAAAATAATGTCCGTTTTTATTTGCTTGCTTTAACAAAGCAACCAGACTCAACCCAACAAAGGATAAGGGGTAATGTTCGATAGAGCAAAGCAAGCTCTACAAGATGGCACTCATGTCTTTGCGCCATGCTCGATCCACGGAGAGTTCGAACTCAAAATCTAAAGATTTCCAAATGCCCAAAAAATCGAAAAAATCAGATCTTCGTCCAAATAATTTCTACGGACCTCCCACTCGCTCACATCAATACTATCGATATCTGATATCCATATGTCGATTGCCGTATTTTTTCCTTGACTAGAAACTGAGAAAACGAAAATTTCCCTGATTTTCTCGAAGCAATGCTGAGCCGTTTTTGCATATGTAGTTCTATACTACAAGCCTAGGTAAGCATAACTGTAGGTTTTCAGCCTATTTCGAGCGGTACTTTTCGAAAAATGTCGATTTTAGCACTGAAACTGAAACGAAAAAATCCGAATTCGTTATTTTTCGAAAACTACCGCATGGAATGGGCTGAAAACCTACAGTTATGCTTACCTAGGCTTGTAGTATAGAACTACATATGCAAAAACGGCTCAGCATTGCTTTGAGAAAATCAGGGAAATTTTCGTTTTCTCAGTTTCTAGTCAAGGAAAAATTACGGCAATCGCACACATGGATATCAGATATCGATAGTATTGATGTGAGCGAGTGGGAGGTCCGTAGAAATTATTTAGACGAAGATCTGATTTTTTTCGATTTTTTGGGCATTTGGAAATCTTTAGATTTTGAGTTCGAACTCTCCGTGGATCGAGCATGGCGCAAAGATATGAGTGCCATCTTGTAGAGCTTGCTTTGCTCTATCGAACAGTACCCCTTACCCTTTGTTGGGTTGAGTATGGTTGCTTTGTTAAAGCAAGCAAATAAAAACGGACATTATTTTCTTGACAACCTAATACTCTAACTATATTGTCTGCAGTAATGGTCGCATAGTGACTGGCGGTTGCGTTAGATCTCAGCCATTCGCAATTGCGAAACTTTTGGAAGGGGTGGGGGAGAAGGGGATCAAGGCTCCAACCTTTAGAAATTCTGATTAGCTTCTTTGAAATATTCGTAACCTTTTTTCGAAGCAAGGATGCGTTACTCTTCGCAAAACCAGAACGTATTTAATTTTGCGAAACTTGTAAGTTTAAATGACTTAACATTTTTTTCGCAATATGATTTCGCAGTATAAAAAAATTTGGTACAAAGTGTCAGGAGAATACAAATGCCTCTTCATGAGGATATAGCACTTCACACAATTTCTACAGTGGTTCCGATTTCAACACTGGTAACTATGTAGTTAATGCACAAATACAAAGATCATTCGAGCCGTGTAAGTTCATTGTCTGCTCGATGTTCAAATTAGGGCAAGAGACTTAGTAAAAATATTGTCGCTCACCTTTAGAGCCCACATGATTGTACTCTCCGTGATATTTGTAACGGTAAGCTTTCGTGTACTTTCTTTTTTGGGAAATTTTAGCTGTAAATGAGTAAATATGAATTGTCTGACTTCTCAAAAACTGTGACGAGGGAATTTGGCAAATCAGAAATTTTCTTTTCAGAAGTTTTTAAGGTAAATAGCTTCTCGAATAAAATTTATATATTGTCTTTGAGATTGGCTTACCGTATTCATTGGGTTGGTTATTATATCCCCATAAGAGACAACTACATGATTGTTTCTCTTCTGTTCGACCTCAAGCAGGGTTTACAGATTTACAACAATGAGCACAAAGCTTTAAAAAACCTTTTTTGCTGTCTGCAACCTTTCTGTGGTTCTCCGAGTGCGATCGGTGGGCCGAGTTGCTGTATACAGTTTTCTTCTAGACGTTAGCTTCTCACTACATGCGGGAACTCCCTAGAATTTGTTGTTGGGAGAGTTCAAAGGACTTGGGTAAACACCCAACTGTGCGCAGCTTTCCAGCTATATCTGTCAAAGTTGTGGTTACCGTTCTATTTTGGGTGGCGCTCATACTTTTGGTATAGAAGGAGGTTGAATTTGTGTGGGTAGATGGAGTCACAGACTCAGATAAAGACGCAGTCGTGGTCGAAAGCTCCTTCGAAGTCAGCAGTAACTCAGCTGAAAAAATTGTCGAAATTTCTATCCATAGATCCTGCATATGTAATTTACATTCAGATATTATTGTACTATTCTTCTTAAAATCGAATATACTGTCCTTTGTTTCTGCAGGGGTTGAGACGTCCAAGGGTGATTCGAAATTTAACAAAGGAGGTGGATACACAAGGTTTCTTCTATTTTTAGATAAAGTGCTTTCTCGGACCGATCTTGCTGATTTGTTTACGCTTTGTAGATATTCTTTGTACGAAGCAGCGGCGAAAAAGTACTGAAACGATTTTTTTAGCGGACCATAAGGTTGAAGGATTTTCTTCTTTTTTTCAGATTTTTTTTCAAGAAACTCGCCTCACTCTTTGGAGTAATATTTTTTGATGAATTCATATTGTTGATAATTTTTCTGTCCACTGGACTTTCTAGGTCGGCCGTCTCAATTTGTTGTTGGAGTGAATACTCTGGTTGTCGAGCAGCTCCGAAGTAGAACTAAACTTTTTTCTATTACTTTTCTGATTTTTTGGACTCAGCAAACCCTGAGGGTATTTTGAAGTTTTGAAATACTTGCTCTAAAGCTGATTTTTTTGGCTCACATTTCTGTGGAAGCAAACCTCGCTTTTGGGACTTCTGACACTGGAGGTAATGACGCTAGCCGGGCTGGCTATCCCTGTGTCCACCTTTTCTATACTTGATTTTTTATTCCATACTTTCTGATATGCTTTGGCGCCAAGAGCTCCGAGCAGCATAAGACGAATACTGAGATAGCTGAAGGGAATAAAATCGCTCTTTTCAGGAAAATTCCTGGTTTTCTCTCGAATATTCATGAAAAGGAAGGTGAAAGTTGGCAAAAAGCTTCAAAAAAGCTTATGCTGTTATAGCTCATTTTTATTATTCTTTTTATTTTCAATTTTTTTAATCGAAGTCACCTCCCTACGACAAAGCTAACCTTTCTTCTTTTTCATACATATAGCCATTAAATATCGCGAGTGTAAAGAACAACCAATAGCCCGTAACAAGACACTAAAATGGGTTTCGGTGCAATATAAACTCATTTGTGTTGTTAAGAATGATTTGCGTAGAACGCGACGGCTGGTTAAGTCACGCTTACCATCGCAACAAAACTTCGATCTCCATTCATGACCATACACTTGAAGGTAAAAACAGCACCGGGCACTATGGTTAGAATGTCGAAGAAATTCTAGAAAAGTTTCTCACACACTTTGCCAAAACAAAGAAGAGGCCCAATGTCGCCGAAAGATGAGGTAGCACGCGGACATCTGCGACAAATACGCGCTTCTGCACGTTTATAGCTCGTGCCAGCTTTCCGCGCTGGAGGCGTATCGGCGACAAAGTGCCTCTAACCCCAAAGAATTATTTGTGTTTTGGTCTTACCGAATTTTCAGCGTCATGGATGTTGAATGCAGCGAAAGCACACATTGACGCTAACAGAAAAATCTCTTCTGTTGACAGACTACCCGATGCATGTGGAGTGGTCCGAAGGGGAACTTTAGTATAGCAATTTAAGTCCTACTGGAATAATGATTGCTCTCAGCTGCTCACCATAACGAGATGATCTGTGATGGATTGGTGACGTCGACTGCATCTGTATGAAAATAAGAATAAATGAAAACCACTTTATTCAATTTGAGCGAAGATAATTTTATCACAAACGATTTTCGGTGGATGAAAACAATTGAAAGAAAGTGGGAAAGGTGTAGGTATAGAGGAACGAAGACCGCAATTAGGCGTTACCTCCTTTGACTTTTGGTCCTTGCGCACATGCTAGAGCATATCGTTCGAGGATCAGTAGTCCATGAAGGCGGCACCTAATGGCGCTATTCCTTCCCCTACCTGGTAAAGTTTCGGACAAGTTCTGTAAGTTCTGTTTGACTGATCACTGCCTCGCACTTTCTTGCCATTTTTCACTTTACAAACTCGATCTATTATTTTCCGCTGGAGAGCTCGCTTATATCTGAAGATGAACCACTCTCGAAACGTGGTTTCTATAAAAATCAACAATCTTTTTTCCTGTAATTTTAACTTTCAAGCTAAATCTTGAGGAAAATGTAGTTTCAAGCCAGTAATCAATGGTGGTAAAATAAATCCCATTCAAAAACAATCTTTCAAGGTCTTTCTTCAGTTCCAGATTACGAATGCAGCTGTTTCTCCGATATATAGATTTCACAAATAGAAAAATCCAGTTTTCGAAACTTATAAGAGCTCTATAAATTTTTTGACAGACTTTCGACATGTTTTCTCAGAAATTTTGATACTCTGAACTGTATTGACATTGACGCTATCACAATTCATGAAAAGTTGAATTGAAAAAGAAAGAATGAAAGAATTTTTTGGGTTAAAGAATGAACAGAGGCTTGTCACAAAATCGTTTTTATATACTGTGACTCTCTCCATTTAGATGAAAATGATGTCAAAGAATAGCCTTCACTCCCTTCTCAATAAAAGCTAAGTAGGAGACTTCGATGAAATTTCTAGAACTTCCAGAGGACAATGAAGAATAACAAACTCATGATACGATGTAATAATTCTTTGATCTGCTTAGCTCAATAAGTTGAAATCCGCAGGAGCGGTTCTTCCTTCATGAGTGCCAAAAGCAAGTTCGAGAAAATACTTTATTTACATATGTTTACAATTCCTTCGTGATCTATCCAGGCTTGTCCAACATAAACAGTTTTATTGCCCACATAGCATCTGTAAACTTGGATTCCATCGTCACCACATCTCATGTCGTAAGCGCCTGAAAGGAGGAAAGCTTGCTGCGTAAAAGTCAATAAAAAAGTTTAAAATTTAAGCGGAAAAGTAAATTTCAATTTTCACATTTTTAGAGAAATTACAGTCGCAAAAGTTTTGGATAAGGCGTGTGTTGAACAAATTGTCACCTTGTTTCCAAACGGTATACTTTTTTACATGGAGGCTCACATCTTCCACATCGTCCATACGCGATCCGTTGAAGCATCCTTCAATAGAAATTATTCAGTTTCCAGCCAGTAATAAACAAAATTTACGCATTTGAGAAATTTGGACCTTTCGGTTCAATCCTCGCTTTGAGTCCGTTTTTCTGAATGTTACAGTACTTCAACAGTCCTTTTCCGATCACAAAGTGCCCGGTTTTGACGGAATCACCGTAATCGTCGACGCATCCTATATGTAGATCAAATAATAACTAACAATTAGTGGAAGAAAGATGAGTTCAAAAACCCTCAGGGAAAACCCACTTATTCAACATTATTATACACCTGAGTTGAGAAAGATTATTTCAAGTGCAATCGTACTCATATTATTGCCAATTTGTGTAATTGCACCACTTTTGGATCTATTTTTGTTCAGCCGGTGACGACAATGAACAATACTAAACGTTGAAGGCCATCAGCATACGGTGCAAAAAATATTAGTGCAATCACACAAAGTGACAGTAGGAAAGAGCACGCTGCACTATGTGAGACTTACGTACCCTTGAATCGTTTTGAAATACAACAAATGAGAAAATGTCCAATAGTAATGTCATCGGAGCCATCCGCATTATCTGGACAATTATTCACTGAAATCTCTTCTCCAGAACCTGTAAAATAAAATTTGCTTGAAAAGCAGCCACTACGTTGTTTTTTGACAAAACTTTTTTTGTTTAATTATGTCTCAAAAAATACCATCGTACCAATATACCTTCATATACTGGTTCATCATCAGTACAAGAGTATTCGACTCCATTTTCAACATGAGATACAGTACCTAATTCCAGTACTGTTCCCGCATCGGTAAGGCAGTTCAAAACCTAAATCTTCGTTACTAATGTTCAGCTATTACTGTGCGTCTCAAAACTGGATTTTTTTAATTAAAGACTAAGAATTTTAACAAAAAAAAACTTCGAAAGAAGGCACCATAATTTCTTGCTTGAAAAATAGAATTTGTGGATTACATTAGGTCGTTCCGAAAGTTCTTTCCGTTTTTTCAACCAATCATAAAAACACGTGGAATGAAGGTAAAGGAACGCTTTAGGCACTGTACGACGCAGCTTTTCTTCCTCTTTGCAACTCTCGTATTCCCGTGCTGCTTGCTCTTGCGGTCAGTGAGATAGTGACCGAAATTTCGCACCCATAATTTTTACCATGTCCAAATTTGGCAATTTTTCACAATCTTCTTTTTTGACTTTTACGAAAGCTTTGATAGCAGTCAGATAGAGCAAGCAAAGTGCAATTTAATGCAATTTTTCGCCGTTTATAGCTAGCCTCAAAAATTTTTGAGAATTATTTTTCTGATGCCATCAAATTCCACTTTTGGGGACGCCAAGAGCCATAGAACATAAGACGGCGCACAACAAAGGAGTCATTCGATGCAGCTTTTCCTTCTCTTTCTAATAAATGTATTTTCTTTCCAATTTGCGGGGTATTTGGCGATAAAGTTTCCATAATTCTTGATTTTGAACCCACCCCAGTCTGTACACGTAAAATGCGAAACCTTATATTTACAAGCGGTAAACGCTCAGTTGCTTTGTAAAAATTGTGGATAATCGTAACTGACTTTAAAAGCTTCAAAATCCATATACTTGCCAGTGTTCAGGGCGTTTCTGTATTTTGGGACTTTGCAAAAGTGAAGACTTTTGAAAAAATTATCTCAAAAAATACAAAAGCCAGCTGGATTCGCCAAAAAAATGTATTGCACTGCACTTTGTTTACTCCATTTGATTGCTATCAAAGCTTCTCCGAAAGTTAAAAACGAAGACTGTGAAAAATTGCCAAATTTGGACATGGTAAAAACCATGTGTTCAAAATTTCGGCGATTATCTCAGTGATCACAAGAGTAAGCGACATGGGAATATGACTGCTAGAAAGAGGAAGAAACGCTGCGTCGGATAGTGCCTAAAGCGTTTCCCTACCTTCATTCTAGGTGTTTTTATGATAGGTTAGAACAACGAAAAGAACTTTCGGAACGACCTAATAATTCACTGTGCGCAAGAAATATTTTGCAGAAAGTTTTTATTTTAGTAATACCAACATCAATATATTTTTTGAATAGATGTTAGATTAAAAAGGTGATAAAGAAGTTGATAATGTGACACATAGTACTATGTCGATTCTATCATAATGATTTCATTATCAAAAAAAACTGCAAAAGAGGGAGACACCAAGAAAAGAAAATGAAAGAACACAGCCAAGAGGTTGTAGTAACTTGATTACATGTTTCAAAGAACCATTACTTAGTAAGTAATATTTCAACCTGAAAGACCGGGTAGCACTTAGCTTCAGAAAAAAAGACTTAGAAGATCAAAGGGTAATGTTCACGGGCATTTTTTTGCACTAGAACATACCTTGAATTATATAGTTGTGATGAAAGCTATTTATTTACGTTAAATAGAAGTAGTGCATTAAATTTCTTCCACATACCTTTATCTCGCCACCTATGCATGTAACCAAAAAATTTCCATTTCGAACCCATTTCTCGTTTTCAGCATGTTTCACTCCATCATCCATGCATGAGGAAGTAACGTAGGGAATAATGAGGAGAAAAACAATAGGGACCATCATCAGAATACTCCAAAATTTTATGGATTAAGGACTGCGCTCCAATGAGCTGAGCTAAGATGAGCTCTCCAATGAGCTCGTAGCACTCAATATTGCTCTCCCATCGACTAATTGCATATTACAACTCAATCCGCACTCGATATCGACAATTACACTGGAACTGCAAGATAAGATTTATGACGATGGGAAAAGGCTTTGAAAGTTGGTGAAATACGAGCATTGAAGAATAAGTGAGTTTGCTGAGATCATCATCTCCTTCAAACTAGTTTTACAGCTGTTATGGTGAGTAAAAAAATGAAAGGGAATGTCTAATTACATGCGAAAATTGACGTCGAGAACCGTATTAGCAAAGTGCGAATTAGGAGCTTGTCAACTGAGACATTACTGGAAGAATCCATAATGCATCCACCAATTATGTTCAATAATTAAAAATAGAAATTTTACATCAAATACGATTATTACAAAAGTTTGGTACCATTCTAAATATCCTTCTTCGTCCCTTATTCGGCATACAACTAGCTGATCATATAGGATATTCATTAATTCTAACATAGCCAAATTCAGAAGGGTTTTCCGATTCTAGCAAGAAGGAAAGAATCAAAGCAGAAGCAAAGCACATCATTCGTGATATCCTTTTCGTCGCTCTAGCTGATCATCAACTTAAGTTAAGAGATCTTTACCCAGAAAAAAATTTCAAAACTTCAAAATCATTTGCACCCTTTCACTAAGCGCTTCAAAAACCTTCAGATGTACTACGAATTTTTCAAAAGCGAAAACGAAGAGGTTCTCAATGACCTTTTCATCGCTGACGTTGCTATTCATCCACAAAACTTTTTGTAGATGAACCGCAGCGACAGCGATAAAAATTCTCTATGCGTTTTTCAAAGTGATTTGTTAACGTAATTTGTGGATACATGTTTGGTAGGATGCATGCCTCCTTTAAAAATCAGCATTACTTATATTGAAGCATGCATTTAGTTAATGAGAAAGGCATTTTCAGTTTGTTGCCCATAATCGACTCACGTACTGTCTCTCAATGCGGGAAGTCACCAAGGATTATGATGAATTTCTGCAGATACTTGCTCCTTCCCCCGCCCTTTAATGCCTTCACCCTACTTCTTACTCAGGCCCTTATGCATTGATATCTCTGCGTCAGAGCAGCGCCTCAGTGATGAAAAAGCCGCAGGGCGTTCGTTCGCGGGCCTTTCTTATTACGGGACGCTGCTCCTCTCGCCGCAGGGATCTCAATGCATACGGGCCGTAGCTTTTGGCCATACTTTACCGTGTTAATAGTGTTACTAGTTTTACTCGAGTTACTCACCAGTCAGTGATATTGCGTTTTAAAATGAGATATTGTGATCATTTCACTATCTAACAACAATAAAAGCGGCTGGTAACATTAGTAACACGAGCAACACGAGTAACAGTGGTATCACGATTAACACAGCTAACACTAGTGATACGAGTAACACTGGTAACACCGATAACACGGGTAACACGGATAAAGTATGGGCCAAAGCCTTAGAACTTAGATGGTCGGTCTTCAAGTGGCGTGCGGGCTCCAACACAAGAGTTTCCAATTGTCTCTGTTCCTCGCTTCAGACACCCACGATTTTTTTGGTTGTCGTCGGTGGCTGCATCCACGAGTTCCAGGTGCGAATATCATACCCAGCTGCCTTTCCAGCTGGTCCATCCGTTTCACGAACACGTCTGCCCTTCTCGTTAGCAGCTTTCCTCGGGGGCTTTGCTTTGCGGGAAATCCCTTGATGTTCTAAATGTTTAACTGTCATTCGCTTCTCATGATGTGATCGGCTCATCGATGCTTCGCTTTCGCAATGTATTCCGCTGGGTCACGAAGATGGTCATGCCCAGGGTCAAGCAAGGGATGTGACACATGATCGCTGGTTACGACCCCCCCTCCCTGATTGCTGTCTTGATAAGACCCCCCCCCCTTGAATTATATTAAGACCAGTGCATCACCTCCGCTTCGCGGAGGTTCGCACTGGCACTCCTATCCATATGCCTTTCTCATGTTCGCATAATGATGACTTTGAAACTTACCGCGCGATGCTGAACATCATGAATGAATTGTAAACAACTGCTCATTCTCAAAGCATCTCCACGTAATATTGGTAATTTTGAGAAAGAAATCTTTTTCGCAAAGGAACAGCTGCGAATTCGAATGAATTACCGAATTTATTTTGGCTTGGTAGTCGTCGTAAGGATAGTAGTCACTTTGGGCTACATTTCCGTGCAAAAATCTTTCAAATTTGAAGTTAAAACCTTGCCAAATCGACTATCTACGCGATCACCACTTTTTGGCGCTTTTTCGCAGAAAAGCAAACTTTTTGAGCAATTTTTGGGTTAGAATTCATGAGGCGCAGATTTACTTGTCAGGCAAATCATGGCTTTGCAAAAAATTCAAAACTGGACTCAGTTTTGCCTGCTTAGAGCCGTGTGGATCCGCTTGACGCACAATTTTTGTAACATCAACGCAACGGATCCGTACGAAATTTTGCATGATGAGCCTACATGCTGGCAAGGTGCTATGACCAAAACTTCAGCTCAAGACATTTGGTGGAACTCGCTGTATGAATTTCGTGACAGACAGACGTACACACAGACACACAGACAAACAGACGTAAACAACCCTTAGCCCGTTATTATTAAGTCATAGATAGCATTACCTGAAGGCCCTGTCAAACATAATGGCCAACATATCCATGATGAGCATGTCAATTAACCCCTGTAGATAAAGTTTGAGCGAATTCTGAAGATTCAAGATACTAGGCTACCTAAGTGAAATGGTCATATTCCAACATGGTTAACTTTGTTAAGGTGAATTAGCTATGTTTCTGCACTCAAGACAAAGTACTACTCCTTCTTCGTCCATCTCAGAAATCCCGCTTCAAAAGACCTCCAAACTGTGGAATTAGAAGCCAACCAAAATCTCATTTTTTCTGCGGCTGCCACAGCTTTTAAGGGGGTGTGCCACACCCCCAATAACTATATCAAAAAAAAAAACAATTTTAGCGAACAATATTTATATGAGTCGATAGCCTAAACCTCATAGATTCTATAGGAATGTTTTAAGCACGATTCGTCTTCTTTGCTCTGAGTAATATTTGGTGAAAGCACAGCCATTAAAAGCGGGAATGAAAATGGGAAAAATGAGATCTTGGTTCGCTTTTAATTCCACAATTTGGAGGTCTTTTGAAGCGGGATTTCTGAGATGGACAAAGGAGTAGTACTTTGTCTTGAGTGCACAAAAGGATAGCTAATTCACCTCAACAAAGTTAACCATGTTGGAATATGACCATTTCACTTAGGTAGCCTAGTATCTTGAATCTTCAGAATTCGCTCAAACTTTGTCTACAGGGATTAACTGACATGCTAATTATGGATATGATACGAATATCATGCTGTCACTTTTATCATATTACCCAACTACGACCCCCTCCCCTTTTGACTCCTCAATACGATCCCTCAGGGTGTGGCGTGCCACACCCCACGCTTGACGCTGGTCATGCCCTTCCTCTCCCTCCAATATAAAGCAATGTACCGAAGAATTGTCAATATGAGTTTTAAGAGAATGAGAGAATGCAGACATGGTTTTTTTTCACAAAATGATGCTATGCTCGTGCTAAGGCCGAGCGAACCGCCATCAGAACTTAGAGGTAACTGATACTGACTGTTAAAGGGTAGTCCGCATAAAAGTGACGCAAAGAAACGCCCATAGCGTTGCACCAAGCACTTCAGATTTTCAAATATCAACTCTATCTTATTTTGTATACTGTACGATGCTGATCACATTGAAAGTCTCGCCTTTACTTTGTTAATCTTATATATAAAGCTGAATGTCTGTTTGTATGTCTGCATGTATGTCTGTCTGTGTCTGTGTACGTATGTTTCGAATAGAAAATTCCATTTCTGAACCGATCGGGACCAAACTTGGCACACATACACTTCGGGCCCCGGCGGGTGTCATAGGCTACTTTTCGTATCGATCGATATCGATTTTATCGATTTTTTTGCAAAATTTGAGCTACGGGGCTGGGAGTTGGCACAGGGGGGGTAAGTGAGCATAGGGATTCCGAATACAATATTAGTTTTTAAAATCGTGCATTACTTTTATCGATTTAATCGATTTTTTTGTAAAGTTTGAGCTACGGGGCTGGGGTTTGGCACAGGGGGGTAATCGAGCATGCTGATCACCCCGTGGGGGTGATCAGCATGCTCGATTACACCCCCTGCCAAATTCCAGCCCCCTAGCTCAAATTTTGCAAAAAATCGATAAAATCGATATCGATCGATACGAAAAGTAGCCTATGACACCCGCCGGGGCCCGAAGTGTATGTGTGCCAAGTTTGGTCCCCCGATCGGTTAAGAAATGGGATTTTATATTCGGAACATACGGCGGAGCCGGGTAAGCCAGCTAGTAGCATATAATCTCTCCCGCAAGTTCTTAATGTCAGTGTCCCGACAGATTCGAGTCTGGCGAAATATTGTCGTGGTAATCCTGACCCCTCACTGACCTCCAGGTCCTTCCCAGATGCATGCTCTTACCCTTGCCCTCTACCCTTGAGAGAACTGCCCTGGAACTGGCGCGCGCTCGAACATTCCGTTACTATTCCGCGCGGGACCTTCACGACCGCCCTTGCACTGTGCATGCCGTGCAGTGCAAAACAGGCGGTTTTCGTGCCAAGGCTTTCCAACTTTCCGATAAACTTTGTCCGAGCTTCCGAAAGTGTGTAAACGCCCTGATAACGGTCATTTCATCCGATTTCAAGCTCGGGTTCTATATGGCGCGAAGGTCCAGAATATGCAGTAAGATCGAGATGCAAAACCTGCAGGAACACGCCTTCAGTTATGCGCGCAATCATTTTCATAATGGCGCCCACAGCCAGTGCAGTGCATCATACATGTATATTGAGAGAAAAATTATGCGG